CCGAGGACAAAAAACCAACCATCAGCAAAAACCCTTGCTATCAAACTCCATTTGCCATACCCCCTTAGGGGGGTCCCCCTAAATCATAATTCAGTAAAGCACCAAACCCTCAAAAAACCCACCCCTAAACCCAAAAAAGCCTCCAACCCATGAAACCCGGACCCCTAAAATCCTACGGGCAACTCAACTTTTTAAACACAAATCCTACGGGCCCAAGCCTCCGAGCCCTCTTGCAGACCCAGGAGGCCTTCTATGCCATGTTGCGTTCAGCAGGCCTTCTCTTCCTCTACCAGCCACGTACCAGAATGGGACCTAAGGGTTGCTGGTGAGGGTTTTAGGGTTTAGGGTTTTAGGGTTTAGGGTTGTGGTCAAGTGTTCGTCCTGGCGGAGTCGCAGCAAGCCAGTTGCAAAAAGGCTTCAGGGTTTTAGGGTTTAGGGCTTCAGGCTTTTGGGGTTTAGGGTTGAGGGTTTTAGGGTTTGGGATGTAAGGGATCTGGATTCGATGCTTTGGGTTGTGTGGTTTCTGATGGCTTGTCGGCGACAGAAAACCATAAGCGTTAAACACTTAACCCCTAATCCCAAACACTAAAAGCCTAAAGCCCTCAACCAAAAGCCATGAACATCTAAACTCACACGGTCAAACTTGCACTGCAGCTTCGGAAAAAGCCTCACATATCCCAAGTCCACCCCCGGAAGCTCGAAGCCTTAAGCTGTCCCCGAAAGGGGCTTTTAAAAAGGGCGGTTATATAGTAGTGGTGGAATACGTCACTTCTTATGATGTATTATTTCCAATTCGTGGTATCATGTGAAACTATACAGCCGAAGCGCAATTACGCCGACGTACTGCGGCTTCTTTCGGAATGTGGCTGTACGACAGGGTGTTCGAAAACCAAGAAACAACGGCCCGAGCGAAGTTTGCCTTTGGAAAAAAAGCCCGAGCGTTCCTAATTGCTGAATTGGGGATCCTATCCTGTTTAGGGTTTGGGGTTGTCCTGTCTGACGGCTTCAGAGCTCTCGAGACTCTGATGCCAGTTTAAACAGGCCCCAACAGTACCCGAGTTATGCATTCACTTGTCACTATTCACTATGATTCCATGAGCCCCAATCTTTAGTTTGCAACCTCAACTTTGCATGTAGCCAAAATAGGTCTTCTCATCCCCACAGTCGGTTTTATCCTAAACCAAACAAGCCTATGAAACCCTTAAAAGACCCTAAGCCCTAAAACACTAAACCCCTAAACCCAAAAACCCGAAAATTGCCTAAAGACCCTAAACCCTAACACCCTAAACCTGAAACCCTAAGAAGGCCTCAAGACCCTAAACCCTAAAGCCCTGAAGGCTTCGACCCAGGGGTCGATATGCTCTCTGGGCTGCGTGCCGGCAAAGAGGCTCTGTGGCTTTCGATTTCACTTAATTAGAGGGTTGTTAGGGTTTAGGGTACCAATACTACTTAGGGGTTCCTTATTTTCAGAATTGGTTAAGGCCCCTATATTACATGCTTTAGCTTATCTTTATACTGCAGGCTTCAGGGTTTAAGGGCCTCAGTACCAATACTATTTGGGGGGGGGGGGGGTCCTTGTTCTAAG